CAAATGTCTGGAAGAACAAAAAAGTTTATGCCAAAAAGACTATAACATAGGTACCAGACAGCCTAACTGAGGAGAGCACTCCACAGACAGAGTGTCATCAAAAAACCTCTCTGCCTCATTTGTGCTGGCAAGAGGACCTCAGATTGTGGTCCACATACACACTTTAAGAGGTACCGAGTGTGGTGCAGTGGGCAGGCAACTTGGGGTTCAAATCTTTACTTCGCCATGGACTCTCACCAGGAGTGGCACTGGCAGATCTGCTCCTTAAATATCTAACTTACCTTGAAAATCCTATTTGGGTTGCTATACGTTGGCTCTGACTTGACAGCACCTAATGACAAGATAATTTAAGCCTTTAATAGTTAAGGGAAGCACTTTCGAATTCAGCCAGAAACTGACAGCCAGTGCAAGTGGAATAGCAGTGACATAATGTGACCTGTTTTGAACTGACTGAAGTTTCTGGACTATGTTCAAATGTCAATTCCACAGATAATTCATGTCAATAACCCCAAAAGAAGGTTATAACAGAGCTCATGTAACTAAATCGTACTACCTTCAATGACCAGAATCTTCCTGGTATTGAAGTAGCCTTTGTGTAACTTGCTGTGGCTAACCGCTACTAAGTGACAGCATGTCAGTGTGCATCTCACATGCATGTCTACTCATGGGCTCAAATGCACACCCAAGGTGTAGCCTGGCACCTCAGCAATTAGGTATGGAAAGTTATACAAACCTTTTGCAAACATCAATGTGTCTATACAAGACTTGTTTAAGCCCAGATCCAATGTACTGTTATGGCATTATGTGCAAGCCAAGGCACCACATTATTTCTAACATTTGACCTCATTAGTGAAATACCTTAGTTGCTTTCTTACATTAACAAGAACACAAAAAAATCTTCTAACAGTTTTTTAATATATGATGTTATTATGCCATAACAGACATTAAAATATTTTTTGCTGTTTGAAATATTCCTTTCCAACTAAAATTAACATCGTAAAAGTAACCTTACTATGGTACATTGCAAGAATTGCAAAAGTGGCCCACTGAAATTAATGGAAATTAAGTTAGTTGCAACTAACAAGACTCAAGAACCTCAAGTGGGTCTTTAAGCAAGATTTAGTCAACCTTCTAACTCAGTGGTCCCCAAACTTTTCTGAGTCATGGACTGGTTGAGGGGGTGGTATCTGTTTGTGGGTGGGCGGGGGCACCCCCTGTGCTTATACATATGCACGAAGGGGTGGGACGTGATCACGCACATGCATGAAGGGGCAGGGCATGCTCGCTGAGTGTGCCCTCGTGCATGCGTGAAGAGCTGGGGCATGCTCACGGATCAGAGGGGCATGCTTGCGGGTGGGTGGGGCACCCATGCGTGCGGGTGGTGGGTCGTGCGTGAGGGTGGGGTGACTACATGCGGGGGTTGGAGATCTGGCTACAGTCCCAACCTCCTGTGGACAGGTGGTTGGGACCCCTGCTCTAAATGGCTTAGCCCTCTAATTGATCTGCACTGTGCACCCTATTTGCCCTTCCCTGGGGCCTGTCTTGGGACTTAAAAGACCATGGGACAGAATATACAGCATAAACCTTGCCCTCAATACCTCTGAGATAGTGGGATTTTAATTTTTATCCATTTAATGTTTGGAGTTCCATGGTATTTTAATTTTCTATTTTGAATATTTAATAAGCTGCCCTGGATCCCAATTCTGGGAGAAACAAAACAAAACAATACAAAACAGCAGCCAGGCAGCTAGTTGGGGGTGGGGGAGAAATTTCTAATATTTCTCCACACACATACTTTTGACACTTAATCAAAAGTATGTGTGTGGCCCTCTAAAGTCCAACAGAGGGGGAAACAGCCCCCTGGAGCTTTGGAAGTTGCCTACCAAGTGCTGTAATAAGAGGATTTATATAAAACATGGCAAAGGATAAACAAATGCCATCAAATGCAAGCTACTTTGAAAATAACTTGGAAGCATGAGCATAACACTTGGGTGATTTTAGGATGTTAGATGGGAAATGATCAGAGATGTGCAACTTTGAAACAGGGACACAGCCATATTCATAACTAATACATCGTATAGGAAGAAATATTCTACAAGGCTCGGGAATCTGAAAGAAGTAAAATATAAGAATTAAAGAAAAGTGATGAACTCCACCATTTAGTTTTCTTCACCTGAGCAGACTTCTGACCTCATGTCAAAAACAAGACACATTTAATTGCCTTAAAGGGGCTCCTAGTAGTGCTGACTCAAAACTGAGAGGAGGTCTTGGAAGTTTCAATTATGATGACGAGGATAGGATGTTATAAAATATATTTATTTATTACAGTCACATCTTGTATTCCCTCCAACAAGCTCTCCTCCTCACTACTAAATTCTCAAAACACTGTAATATAAGTCCGATTGACAGTGACTGACTAGAGGTAACCCAGTGAATTTCATGGCTCAGGGAAAAACTGGATCTGGAGCCCACATGCCTTTTCTTTCTGTTTTCAGCCCATCTTGAGTTTTGCATTATACTGGAGATGGGCATGAACCACTACTTCAGCAGTTCATAATGGTTCATCCTTCAGACAAACAGGTGTTCTGTGGGCACCTGGGCTTCCCTCCCCCGCCTCCTCCAGTGGACACCCATTCAGAAGAGGAGGCATGACAGGGAAGGCTGCTGAAGGAGGTGGGGGAGGGAAACAGGGATGCTCACAGAACACCTGTTCATCCAAAGGACATACCATTGTGAACCAGAAAACCTACAGTTCATGCCCATCTCTGCAGTATACCCTCCATGTCCCTCCAAAGCACTCAGCTGAAACTTATCATATACTGCCCTGCCACTGGAAAAATCAGGCATGGCTTGGGACATTTGGATAATTTGGACTTCCAGGAAAGAGAAACTACACCCAGCTTTTCCTAAATCAGATGCTGAAAACTTTGGGCTGTGAATCTCATGTGCAACTGATCAGGCAGGAAGGAGTAGTAGAGACTGTTACTAAGGAGACAGGAAAGAAGGCAAGGAAAGGGGCAGGTAGGACAGTTAAGATGGCCAGTTGGAGAGGGAAGAAGAAGACTGGGAGAAAAAAGATTCAGAAAAAAATAGTTGCATTGTTACATTTTATGCATCCAGGTTATTTATATGACGATTGTTATACTGGGCTGTTCACATATTCATCATTGCTCACATACATTTTACTCTGCTATCTGAGAAATATAACCTATTCATGATTCTGGAAGAAATCCAGGAGCACACTTTTTTATTCAAAAAGAACTCGTGAGGGTAACAAGTAAACACTACACCCTGCAGAGGGGTGTGTGTGTGTGTGTGTGTGTGTGTGTGTGTGTGTGTCCCATCAGGCCTTATCATTGGCTAGTTTAGCTATATCTAATGGGAGTATTTGAGAGTCTGACAATATCTGGAGAGCCACAGATTCCCTAGCCTTCTTCTCAATATCACTGTAGAAGAAACATTTGCCAAGCCTTATTTGGGTCCCTGACATCAGCACACTACCAAATCTACTTGGCAGAATGATCCCTGACACAACTAGAGAGAATAGGTTCTTTTTAAGTACCAGATAGGCTGAGGGACATGCAAATTAAACCAAACAATGAATTTGCATGGCCTCCAGGTTTATTTGGCACTTAAATGTGGTGGTGGGGTATCATAAAATATTGGCCCCCCTGAAACATTTTTGTGCCAAGAAATTTTTTACCAATGAAATTTATTGCTTCAAAAACTGGGCCTAGTCTACCAGCCAAGTGCACACTGTACCTCCTGCCATCATCATGGTGCGAGGTCTCTCTCTCTCTTAGTTACAGATCAGAACACAGTTTTATGATGACAGCATATAAATCTTATACTGTTACAGGGCCAGGTGACTTCTGTTCCCAGAAAACAGAGCAAAGGAGCTGATGCAACTCTAGGCGAACAAGTAAAACAAGGGACTAACACCTACCAACATGCTTTTTAACCTCTCTACCCAGAGCAATGCAGTAACACTATGGTTGTTATATCTCTAGCTCTTTCGTTCACTGTTGGGTACATATTTCATTTCTGAGGGAAGGCAGAAAAAGAGACAGTGCACACATGAACGTGTAGCTTGATCTTGGCAGTTGCCATAGTAGAGCTACTTCTCCTAGCTGAGGAAATGCTGTACTGTGACAATCACTGGGGATAAAGAAAACATTAGCAGCAAAAGACAAGAGGAGGATACTAAAGTAGGCATCCAGACAGAGTGGATGTCACTTATGTACAAGGTTGCTAAGACATATAATTCACTCTTTCAGCCTTAGGCATTATTTTAAAAAAACATCTTGAATACAAAGCATGTTTGAAAGAGTGACTAACTTTTAAAGAAATAACTGCTATTTTAAATCCTTACACATATACACACACGCATCTTAATGGCAGTCAGATTTCATTACTCTGACAACATTAACAAAGGAAGATGTAGCTATATTTCGAAGCTTGGCAGATCTACAAATCTTTCACCAACAAGGCACAGGGATAACTTCAGTCTTAACACCCAGAAAACTTCTACAACACTAGTAATATGCCACACTAAAAGAGAGAGAGAGAAAAGAATTGTTTACTGAAAGAACAATAAAGAAAAATAAGGTCATCAAAATTACATTGCTTTATATAGAACTACTTTCTCTTACACTAATATGGGAAAGAGACCACCTTAAACATAGATTTGAAAGATGTTGTGTTCAAAACACAATCAATTCCTAAATTATTCAAAATGAGGAAAACATAAGTATAATTATCTGTGGCTTTAAACACTGTTCAGTAAACCAAAAATCAAATAGAAGTGCACATCTTGTCAGGTTTAAGGATTTCTCCTGCTACTAGAAATCAATATAAGGTTATTAACCCAATGTAAGAATTTTAAGATATGAAGCAAACTAGCAACAAGGACAATTTTGGAAAAGTTCTTCAATTTAAGTTATCTTTTAAAATGATATACTTTGGCTGGTTGTAGATAAACTTAAATTTTTTTTACTTACTTTTGAGGCCCATGGCTGCAGACAATTGGCGTAACAACGAACAAGAAAAGCCATTTCCTATGTTGAAGAGGAAAGTTTCTACTTGCAAACAAAATCCACAGACAATAAATTAAGTGAGAGCCTTAGAAGATTCTCTTTATAAACCATAAGCCAAAGGCATGGATATTCAGGCACAAAATTACGCAGAGTTTATTTTCACTATAGCTTCTACTGTACTCAGTAGCTTTCAGCATTGCAACAATTACTGCCATAAAAAAGAGTCCAGCTTCAACAAGCACATAACTATGCACATTCCAAAAATTCAGTGGTGCTTTTCACTCAAATTCAAAAGTCAACAAGCAGTCCCAAGGAGAATATATATATATCTTAAATAGCAAATCTAGAATAAATTCTAGAAGAGATTGCAAGTAAAATGCAACAGTCTATTAAAAGGTGAACACTGAATTCCTATTAATAATTTTCCCATTTCAAGGCACAGTTAAAGCTGGTTAGTCTTCAGATTCTCATCTTCATTTTAGTTGCAAGGATTCTTCATAAACAGATCTTGGGTCATCAAGGAACTGTTCATATTAAAGTTTCTTCTTCATACTCCTGCTATCATGACTGCAAGACTAAATCCATGCACAGCCAGAATCTTCCACGTTTATATACATCCACAGACACATTTAATATATTTGCACTACAGAATTGCTCAAAGCCTCTGCAATAAAACCATTTCCTCCCACCTCCAATGCAGTTTGAAATGCTGCAGTATAGCTTAGAATTCTAATGCATCAGCCAGATACCATGGTTAACCCGAACCCAGTATTTACCAATTAAAACCCATCTGCTGCATTGCAAAAGGCAACATCCACACCAGGACTGAATGCTCGAGTCCTAATTCCTACTATCTTTGCTCGTTTCTCAGCAGCTCCCTCAGGAGAAGCTCACATCGATTGGATGCTCCGCAGCAAGATGAAATATCTAATAAGGAGGGGGGAGAGTGGGAGGGGAATGGAGCTAAAAGGATGACATCACCTGTATAGAAAGCCTTTAGAAACTGCATTAGATCAATTGGCTACTGTGTCTGCAGATGTAGCCAGAGCATCTTTATTGACCTAGTATAAATACACCTCTGTACAACAACAATTCAGCAAAACACTCTATGATGCATTTCATATCACTGTGTTGATCTGGCAATGTGCACAATCCCTTTGCTTTCTGCTTTTTTTTACATCTAACTACTGAAATCTGCATCACTTCACTTTTTTCTATAGCGTATTCTGAACAAAGCATAATTCTTATTACTGTAATTATATTTAATTCCAGTTTTTCACCAGCTTCCATAGATTCTGCATACCCACAACATCTCAGGACAATTTCTCATAGAAGATTATATGCTCTGTATCAAATACTGTAACACTGAAGAAAAGCATATTTTAAATAATTAATTGGCAGAAACTAAGTATAGCCATATAAGTTCTGAGCTCAATTGAAGGTGCTAGTGCTGACCTATTAAGCCTTAAATGGTTTGGGGCTGAGGAGCCCAAAAGACGGTCTCCTTTTGTACATACCTGCTAGGAATGTGAGATCCCCAACAGAAGCCCTATTACATGCCCCACTGCCCCAAGAGACTAGGTTGGTGAGCACAAAGACAGGGCTCCCTTTGTTGGGAAGAAAGAGACAAAATGCAAGCTTCTCATCCAGAAGTGAAGTTTCCTCACTATAAGGTTTCCAAAACTCCACAAGTTGGAAATTAGCTTGCTCTTCTTTGGTGACTGGTGACTTGGAGATCAGCACAACATTTATTTGCAAGTTGACTGCACAGACATAAGAAGTTGAAAGCAATCCATATCTGGAGGGATAATATCTGTCATCCAAGTGAGGTTATCTGGAAGTTGAGTCAGGGCAAGTGGACTTCTTTCTTATCAGGTTAAAATGTTTCACTGCTCATCCAAGTAGCTTCTTCAATCGGAGGAGAGTTGGTAGGAGATCCCTGATATATCCTCCACATTGGTTTCACTTCCGCTCATTAGAAGGACAAAAGACTGGAGATGGGTAAAAATCCTACTTCTACAGTCCTTCTCCACCCATTGTCATGGGTTGTTAACAGTGGTCTTTCTGGTGTGTGTTCAGGGGAAGGATGAAAGGGCAGCATGATAAATAGGAGAAAGATGTATCTAAGGCTTCCACCCCTGTTGAGTGAGGATTATATATGCACATGTATGGCCTCCCTGACCCACCTTTCAATACACCTATATTCTCTGTACAAAATAAGTACATCTTGCTCATCAAATGAGTGTCTTTTCTCCTTAGTGTGTTTGTGGCTTTGAAGTGCATGGGTATGTGGTATTTACCAAAAATCCTTTTGAGCTTTTCAGACACACCCACCATGCAAAGAATGACCAGGTTCTTCCATCAGCTCTGGGTCTCAGGCTGTTCCATTGTCCTCCTAGGTTGTGACATTGCCTTGTTAAAGGCCCGTTTTGGATATCCACAGGCCTTAAGGGCTGTTTTCAGATGTCCATCTTCCTTCTTCTTGGCTTCTGTGGAGGTACAGATGTTTCTTGCTCTGTGGTTTAGCCACAGAGTGGCTAACACAAATAATCCTGATGATCCATAGTTTGTGTTGCAATGGGTGATGAGAGTCAAACCACAGGTATTGATCAGTGTGTGTAGGTTTTCTGTAGATTTCTATTCCTAAACTGTCACTGGATCCTATGATGACTGCACAATCCAGGAAAGCCAGCCAGTTGTCTTTGGTGTCTTCCCTGGTGAACTTGATATTTTGATCCACAGTGTTTATGTGGTCTCTGAAGGCCTGTGCTTCCTGAATCTTGAACTTCACCCAGGTGTCATCCACATGCCTGAGCCAATCAGTCGGAGTCATCCCCTGGCAGGTGTTTAGTGCCTTCTTTTCCACTTCTTCCATGTATAAATTGGCAACAATGGGCAACTCCGGGGAACCCATGGCACAGCCATGTTTCTGCCTGTAAAAGTCACCTCTGGAGGTAAAGTAAGTGGTGCTCAGACACAGATCCAGGAGCAGGCATATCTGGTCCAGGTTGAGGCTGTTTCTGGTGGAGAGGGTGATGTCTTCTTCCAATCTCCTTTTTACAGGTGATAGGGCATCAGGGGTGGGAATGCTGGCGAAGAGGGATGTGACATCAAAGGACCATGGTTTCATCAGTATTTAGTTTCAGTTCCCTGACCTTGGATGCAAACTCCTCTGAGTTGTGAATGTGGTGGTCCGAGTGTCCTACCAATGGTGCTAAGATGGTGGCCAGGTATTTAGTAATGTTGTACATTACTGGAGGGATGTTTTTATCACTATCTAATTATAAAGTTTCCATCTCCTCTGAAGGCATCTGGCTGCAGAGCTAGAGGTTGGAGTTTGATTCTCTACTGTCCCTCCTATGAGTAGAGCCAACCTGTGCAGCCTTGGGAAAGCTTCCCAGTCCCAGAGCACCCCTAGAAGAAGGGAATGGCAAACCACGTCTGAGTATTCTCTACCTGGAAAACCCTGAAAGAGGTCACCATAAATCAGAATTGCCTTGACAACACATGATTATTATTGACACAGACCTCTTTCCTAAGGTAGGTTGGGCTGGTTCTATTTAGCTTTTAAACAGAATCAGTATTTAGCTTTTAAAACTGACTGTAAAACTGATATTTAAAAATGTTTTTAATCTGTGTGGTCTGCCTATATGCTTGCTTTCAAATAATTATTTATCTATAGTATGGCACTTTGGAACCTTGGTGGGAAGAAAAGTTTGTATGTGTCAATTTCTAAGAATATCAGAAAAGTCTCTAAAACTGTGAAATTTGGAACACAGCAGCTAGAATGAGCAAAAATATGATCTGCAGCTATGGCCAACATCCAGAAGAAAGCCATTATAAGTGGTAAAATCTGGAGGAGAGGACAGATGTGGACACAAAGTAAGCATGCACATGCTCCCATGCAGCCCAAATTAGGATTAAGGGGGGGGGGCAACATCATTTCTTGCACTTCCAGTTTCATACAGATCAGAAATTAACCATCCATTTCACCTGCTTCTCTCAGTTTGTGTTGTTAAAAGTTGCTACATTAAGGGAGACTAAAAAAGTGAATATGACAAATCATGCTTTTTCAATTGTGGCTCCTAGATTCTGGAATAAAATGCCCATAGAAATATGCCAGGTTCCTTCCCACCTCCTGTTCAGAAAGATGGCAGAGATGTCATTCTTTAAAACTTCCTTTAGTGACTGACTCTCTGGAATTTTGTCAATAATAACCTTTTTATGTTTTAATCAATTCTAGTGTTTATAGAGATTCATATTTATGGTTATAATTATTGTCTTTTGTATTGTTATATAGTTTTTTAATTGTATTATTTCACTGATGTGGGGCATTGGGGGTTTGTGAATTTTAATCTTGTGTGAACCACCAGTGTAGTGCCTGCGCTAATGGGGAGGTGTATAAATCAATCAAATAAATAAATATCAAATATAGCTATGTTGTCCTTTTTCTGCATGACCCTTCTCATACATATACACATGTAGAGACACACAAACAACATCAAAGATCAACAACCTTTCATTAGCAGTACCACACAGCACCCCTCATGCACCCCCAAAATCTGCCCCACAGAACTAACACACTCTAGAGGTTGTGTGGAAACCCACACTGCACTTTAGTGAAACACTGGATTTTAACCAAATGTTAATGGAGTGTTTATTCTAGATTCAAAGGCATCATGTGTGAAAACTAAAACCATAGAACTACACCCAGTGGTGTCCTTCAATTGCGGATTTTTTACCCAACAAAGATTTGATTGAATGGTAGGAAAAGATAGGAGAGGGGTAGCTGTTGTTGTTTTTCTGGTTTCCTATTACCTTTGCAGCTCTTGCAGTCTAATTCAGACAACTGGGGCATCTTCAACAATAACATACAGGGGGCTACAGAAAAATTGGCTAAAACTGCATTCCTTCATCTTTGTTTTCATGTAAGTCTCAGTCCAATAGATCAAAGATCCTTCCATGAACGGAAGGCCACTATCGTTAAAAACCTATAGACTAAACCTTTAGACTACTGTGTTCATGTCTATATTTTACTAAGATGATTTCTCAGTTTGCAGGGTGATTTCAGGTACAGTGGACCCTCTACTTACGGAATTAATCCGTATTGGACCAGTGGCTGCAGGTTGAAAAGTCTGTAGGTCGAGTCTCCATTGACCTACAATGCATTGAAAACCATTTAATCCCTAACCGGCTGTTTTTGTTCTGTTTTTGTTCCATTTTGGATTTTTTCTGGTCTGTAGGTCGATTCTCCAACTGCAAGTCGAACCTAAATTTTGCAGCCAGAGAAGTCTGTAACTCGAGAAGTCTGTAAGTTGAGCCATTTGTAAGTCGAGGGTCCACTGTATA